TGACCTCATGGAGTTCACAGTACGCCTGAGCAAGGTGGAGACAAAGTCCTGTGACCTCAGGAACCAGTGACGGATATCTGCTGGCAAACACTTGGAACAGTTCACCCCAAGTGATCCAACTGCTCTCCATTTAAGGAGGCTGGAAATCAAAACGTGTCTGGTGTCAGAGGAAAGCTCTCAGGATGAACACGACCCATCCCTGCTCTCCTCAGCAGCTTCAGGGGCTCTCAGCAGGGAGGCTGAGAACTCTACAAGCTCTTCAAGCTGGGGTAACAATAAAAACTACTAAAAGAATGCATTTTAAACTAATGGGTAGCAGCAGAGGGCTGAAATGTTTAGCAAACTGGCTGTAATTTAAATCCTTCTAGTTTGTATTTTGTTAGCTCTGAAGTCACTTTGTAGTGATCACATAATTCCCAGAACCCTGCACGACATTCCTTACTAGACAGCATCACTTAACCACATTTTCTAAGCTCACCTAAACATTTCAGGGTTTGCTGGTTTGGGGTTTTTTCTTTTAAGTCTTGAGTTTTTTATTTAAGGTGACAGACCTCATAAATTTTCCTCTTTCTTGCAGGACAAATACCACTCCAGGCAGAAGGATTACTGCTATCACCAAGCCTAAATACGGAAGTAATTTCTCAGTAATTTCCTGCTCACAGGAGGAAGGTGAACAGTGATGGTGTTGACACCTCATCGACTGCCTGTGAAGAGAAAGGTCTGTGCAAACACATTTCCCCAGTCTGGGCAAACACATTTCCCCCATCTTTAAACTCACCAATGGGCACAAACGGCGTCTCCTTAAACTTCCTTATCAGCTTCGAGGTCTGGCTGCTGTCAGTCTCATACTCAGGATAAACAGATTCCTGCCTGGGTGACATGGTGGCTGTGAACACAAAGAGCCTCCCTTCAGGTTTTAGAAGCCCCAAATTAAGAGAATCTTTGGGGAAAGAAAATCCCTTGCGTATTCCCCCAGTCACAACTATCCAGGTAGTGAGATAGAAGCACAGGAGCTATGGACAGGTGATTTAATTCAAGTGAAGCCTTGGGAAGCAGGACTGTTACTTAACAGGAGAGGCAAGAACAGGACAGAACAAAAAAAAACACAGGGAAGCAACAGATTTCTGCCACTCGTTTTCACACCTTTACAGATTCCCGTGCCCCCCCCATGCTCACAGGCAGCGAGAAGCCACAGAAAGCTTGGGCCACTGCCCGCCTTTCCTTTTAGGAATTCCATGCCACACCACTTGGCTTTCGCAGGCTGTTCCTTTATGGCAGCTCTGACCTCAGCAAAGTTCACATCTCCCCTCTCACTCCCTGCCAAGAACGGCAACCACAGGGAAGCGAGAGCCGCTGCACAAGGTCAGCCCTGCCCAGCAACTCCTCAGCTGCCTATTCCACCTCAGCGTAACTCCAGATTCCTGGAGAACACAGGGATGTACAGCAGCCACACCTGAGGAGCTGGAGCAAGTCTTGGAGCCCTCCATAGGTGCAGACTCATGTGGGGGACACATCAGGAGGAGAAATCATGCACAGGTGATTTCTCACCTGCCTCCCAGGAAAATAAAAAGCAGCGACAGCCCTGAGAAAGGCTCCACTCACAGAACCATCATCACCAAACCAGTGAGATCATCCTTCAAAAATGCCCAGCTTTTTGTGCTGGGAATTACATGGATTACACCCAGACCTGTTCCCTCCTCAGTGGTCAGCATTAACACCATTCAATGAACGATGATTTCTGCCCAGCGACACCACAGAGGCCTCTGCTAGAAAAGTCTCCACTGTTACTGTTCCAGTTTTGACCACCAACACACTCCACAGCAAAACACAGCTCAGGGGCACATGGAAGGACTCCAAGCTCTCAGAATAAACTACCAGGAATTTCATTTAAGCAGGGGCCAGTAACCATCGGCAAAAGAGACATTTCAAAGGTGGCTGCACTCCCTGGTTACGCAGCATTTCCTGCACACCCGTGTGAGCAGACTGACTGGTTCTCAAACTAAAGGCTCAGACCATTTCCTCTGCCAGGCCAAAGGATTTGATCTCTCTGTGCCTGCTACAACCGCCCTGGTTTGCTAAATGAGAGTTATAATTTTAGCCTGACTCATTTGGAGAAGGAAACAGGAGCACTCGGTCACTCAGGAGAGGGGGAGACAGCCAGGGGTGGGATTTACACAAGAAAAGGGTATTGAAAGTGAATCAATTCATCCACCCCGAGAGGTTTCCACGACCTTCAGCTCACACTGGGGTGGGCCCAGGGCAGAGGAAACACACAGCCTGATTGCCCTGACCTTGCCAACACCCAACAGTGAGGTCTGTGTGACAAGTGTCACCCACAGCGGGAGGAACACGGGTGGGAAGGTGACAGGATCTCTCTGCGAGAGGTGTCACCGACGGAGGGAGGCACATGGGTGGGAAGGTGACAGGGCCCAGCATCCCTCCCGGCAAGGCAGCGGCCTTGGGCACCACCAGGCTGCCTTCCCCCTCTCCAGCCCCACATGGAGACCCTGTCCCACTCCAGCCCCAGGTCCACACACCCCACACGGGTACAGGGTACACCGCTCCAGCCCCAGGCCCTGCCACCCACACGGAGATCCTTCCCCACTCCAGCCCCAGGTCCCTGCACCCCACACGGGTACAGGGTACCCCACTCCAGCCCCAGGCACCTTTACCCCACTCCGGGCCTCTGCCCTACTCCAGCTCCAGCTCCCCACACGGGGACCCTGTTCCAGCCCAGCCCCAGGCCCCCGCCCAGCCCCACACGGGGACCGTTTCCCCACGGCAGCCCGCAGGTTCCCGACCCCACGCGAGGACCCTTCCCCGCTCCAGCCCCAAGCGCCCCCTCATCCTCCTCCGTGCCCCCTGCCCCTGATGTACCTCAGATGTCCCGCCGCTGTCCTCCCGTTCCCCCCCCGGCCCGGCGCTCCCGCGGTCCCCACGCTCCCCTGTACCGGCCGCGTCTGCCGCGCCAGGCCCCGCCCCGCCTCTTATAGCCCGGCCGGCCCCGCCCCCCCTCCGGGACCACAACTCCCAGCGCTCCCGCGCGGCCGGCGCCCGTCGCCGCCAATCAGTGTCGCGGCCGCCGCTACCTCTGCCTTATACGAGTCGGGGGGCGGGCCGTCCGTGACGTCACGCGGGCGCTCTCCGCAGTGCGGCGCGGTCGCGGGGGGCGGGGCCCGCCGGCAGGGGGCGCTGAGGGGCCGGGCGGCCCCTCACGGCCCCCGAGGGGTGCGGGGGTGAGGGCGGGTACGGCCGGGGGGGGACGGGGATGGACGGGCCGGTCGGGTCAGCCCGGAACGGGGGTTAGCCCGTCCTAAACAGGGGGGCAAAACAGCCAGTGGCGTCTTTGCAACTTGTCGGCTTGGCACACCAAAAACTTTGTCGGTGTTATAAACCCTCACTGTGACACCGAGTCAGTACAAGCGCCTGGGGGGACAGGACAAGGGGGAATGGCTTCAAACTACCAGAGAGCAGGGTTAGATGGGATATTGGGAGGGAATTCTTGGCTGTGAGGATGGGGAAGCCCTGGCACAGGTTGCCCAGAGGAGCTGGGGCTGCCCCATCCCTGCAAGTGTCCAAGGCCAGGTTGGATGGGGCTTGGAGCACCCTGGGCTAGTGGAAGGTGTCCCTGCCAGTCCCAGGGTGGGACTGGGTGGGGTTTAAGATCACTTCCAACCCAAACCATTCTGGGATTCTGTGGCATCAGGTGGAAGCTCTTCAGCAAAGGGCAAAGTCAGAGCTCAATTTTCACAGAATCTGAGAATCCCAGGTTATATTTTGAGTTAGATCATCTCATTCCAACCCCCTGCCATGGGCAGGGACACCTTCCACTAGCCCAGGGTGCTCCAAGCCCTGTCCAACCTGGCCTTGGACATTTCCAGGGATGGGGCAGCCACAGCTTCTCTGCCTTTCCCTCCTGATTGTCTCATTATGTTTTCCCAAATTTCAGCTTTCAAGCAGAGCTTACCTTACACCTGCTGTGTGCCAGACAGTGGATTTGGAAGCCCAGAGTTAATCCAGAAGCTGCTCCTGACTCAAATCAAACCGTTCTCTGGAGCAGAAGGAAAAATCCACTGGGATCCTGGAGATGCCAAAAATCCTCCTCTAAACCTGAGGGCAGCTCATCAGGGCAAAACAGCAAGGAAAGTCCTTTTCTCCATAAGCCCAGTTTTGCAGTGTGGTGTTTGTGCCTCTGCATCTCCAAGCGGGGGGAAGCAGAGTCAGGGTCACCCCTCCACTCACACGAGGCATTTTGGGCAGCATGAGAGAAAGTGGCTCAGACAACCATTTGTTCCATCTGTATCTCTCTAAATATGCTTCCCATTACCCCTAATCTTGTTACTTTAATTACCAAAGCCATTAGGGCTCTGCAGTCAAAGGAAACAAAAAAAAAAATCTATGCAATTATCAGCCCTCAAATTGAGTTAAAATCTTGTAATAAATTACAGCAAAGGCCACTTTCTCCAGTGACTCTCAGAGGCACATTTGACTCCCTGCTTCAGGGCAGAAACTCAATTAAAAACAAAAACTTATTTCATTTTCATTGCCGGGCTAATGAAACCTCTGTCGCTTGCAGCATCTCTCTGTGTATGTCCAGTGTCTGGGCTCTGTGAGTGGTTCTTTCTCCCTGCTGATGTCTATTTTGCACATATGTATTTGTTATATAAATATATATATTATTATATGGTATATTTAACTGCAGCAGCTGATGGTGGCAGACATAAAAATGGGTAAAAATAATGTATTTCTCTCTGTCAATCCACTTAACAAGGGGCAGGTTGGATGCAAAGCTGTGGTCACCACTGCTGCTCCACCCTCCTGCTTTTACCAGGGTGGTTTGGGGAGTATAAAACACCCCAGGATTGGCACAGGGAAAACCTTGGCACGGTCAGGGTGTTCCCATGGCCCTGCTTGGTGGTGAGATGAGGAAACAAGCAGGAAGGTGACCACTCACCAACAGTGATATTCTGAAACTTCTCCAATAAACCACTTTGACTGAGATGTCTTCTGTCAAGGTGTCAGAAACTTCTGTCAAAAACTTTTCAGTCAAAAAACTTTTCAGTCAAAAAACTTTTCTGTCAAAACCTTCTCCAAGAAACACCTTTGACAGAGGCCATTTCTACTTTTGCAGAGGTTGAGGATCCTGCTGCATCCAAAGAGCACATGAGTCAATCAGATTTCCTGGAAAACATGCAGATTTCTACAACAAGGTCTCAGCATGTGCTCAGGCAGGGTGGAGACCGTTTATCCACTGCTGTCATCCTTGACCAACACCAGGAAAGTCAAAAACAAAACCAGGGAGGATATATTTCCTGCCCACTTGCTCTTGCACAAGTGAAAGAGGTTCCTAAAAGCCTGATTCGAGCATTCAGCAGGATGGAAACAGGGGAAGAAACTCCTGTAAGTGCATTTTCTGCTTCTTGCTTGTAGACAAAGCTGTGCAGGAAACCTGGGGAGGTTCTCCTTTCTTTTTGAAAGGTGGCCAGTTTGGGATTGGGATTAGTTTCTGAGCTAAGTCCACATTGTGTTCACCAGTTCTCTGCTCTGAGCTACAGGATGGGGGTGTGGATGTCAGTGCCAGGCTGATAAGGAGGGAGAAAGATGTGGCAGAAGGAGAAAAGGCTGGAAGAGACCCAGAAATGTAAAATTTGAGAATGCCTTGTCCTGATGTGGGCACAGAGGGTGTGAGGGGAAGGGTATTTTGGGTATTTTGGACTCTTGTTGGGTGTTACTTTGATCAGCATGATGGGCAGCTTTGGTTTCCTCTCAGTGAGGAATGTGGTAGAGTCACAGCTATATATGGCTGTTTCTTCCAAAATATGATACAGGAAAGAAATTTTAAAAAGCTCATTCCCAGACAAATCCCAGACAAACACTCTGCCGTGGCAGATCCCTGCTCTCCATTACTGCTCTGTCTGAAGTGCCCTGCAGCACTTGCCAAAGAGCTGCGAGACAGCAAGAAAACATTTCAACACAGCTCAGATCACTTTTTATTTTCTTTTCAGCTGCCTGGAATTGCCTGGAATGGGTATTTAAGCAATTTTAGGCATGGGACCACAGCAGGTACGTCCAGAGCTTCACCCCTTGCAGCTGCACATCCTCAGGCATCCTCAGCACCCCACTCCGAGCTTTGGGAGCTTTCCTTAATCCATGTGGGGTGGAGGGGCTCCGCTTTTCCAGGGTGTTTGTGGGGAGGGAGCCATCCCTAGGAGTTGCAGAGCCACCATGGGATATGTCCTCCTTGGGAGGACAACCAGGGACCAACAGCTTCATTTTCTCATTACTCAGTGGCTCCAGGTCTCTTGGGAAATGGGACAAACAGGTCCTGGAGGAGAAACTGCAGGCATGGAGCTGCACAGCCAGGCCTGTTTGGGATTGCTGGAAAATGAACCCCAAGGAAAAGACAGGCAGCTTTGGCCGTGGCTGAAAAAATGTGTGGTTTAGAGGTGGAAAGGTATTTACACCACTTTTCCCCCGTGCCAAACTCTCAGAGTTTGGAGATTAGCCTTGATTTTTAAACTCCACATTACCCTTCATGGTACTGACAGGGGGTGGCTCAGGCAGATCCCATTCCCACCGTGGCAGATGGGCTCTTCTTTTGAAACCCTCGTAATGTTCTTGTTCGCGTGGTGGGTTTTTCCTTCTGAAAATCAGAATCCAAAAGTAGGAAGCTGCAAATCACTAATCATTTCCTGACATCTGGGCTGCAGCTGTCTAAACACTGAGGCCAGTCCTGGGGAGTGGCCGAGTGCAGGTCATGCCTTGGCTCGTGCAGAATCGATTGCAACAACATTCTTCCAGCTAAATCTCTACCTCTAACCTTGATTCAGGACTTGATTCTGGTGCCTACCTGTTCTTACCTTGGATGAGTCTTTGAGCAACCTCTTCTAATGGAAGGTGTCCCTGCCCAGGGGGTTGGAATGAGATGGTCTTTAAGGTCCCTTCCAACCCAAACCATTCTGGAATTCTCTGAATCTCTGATTCTGTATTTTCCACTTACTAATACTTTTTACAGGAATCCATGTCTTGGTGTCCTAGGGCTGACACAGAGAGTGGTCAGTGTCCCACCAGGAGCAGGGAGATGTTCAGAATTTCCCCTCTGAGAACAGCCACACCAACACAAAGGTGCTGGTGGCAGGTTCTGCTTCACCAAGAACTGAGATGCCCCTTCCTCAGTAGTGACCCAGGTGAACATAAGCAGCTCACAGTGAGGTATAGTGATGGATTTCCCGTAACAGAGCAGAAACTTCCTCAAAAGTTTGTCAGGAGGAAGTAGTGGGTTATGTCAGAGGAGTCTGTGATCACTGACTTTCAAGTTTTATATTTCCAAGTAAGGAAAGCAAAATTTATTTTTTTTTAATTTCTGTGTAGACACTTGTCCCTACAATTAAACAAAGGCCAAGGAGTGTAGGACACAAAATACTTACCAAAAAGTTGCAAAAATTTAAGTCTATGAACTTCCAGTACTTGAAGAGAGCCTACAAGAAAGACCAAGAGAGACTTTTTACAGGAGCACAGAGTGACAGGACGAAGGGGAATGGATTCAAACTAAAAGAGGGTAGGTTTAGATTGCATATTAGGAGGAAATTCTTTGCTGTGAGGGACTGGAACAGGTTTCCCAGAGAAGCTGTGGCTGCCCCATCCCTGGAAGTGTCCAAGGCCAAGTTGGATGGGGCTTGGAGCCACCTGGGCTAGTGGAAGGTGTCCCTGCCCATGGCAGGGGATGGGAACGAGATGATCTTTAAGGTCCCTTCTAACCCAAGCCATCCTACGATTCTATGAACTAAAGGACAACCCTCCATGATGTGGTCTTTGCTTCCTGTGTGGATTCAAACACTTTGATCCCCTTCCCTTGCCTTTTGCTCTTAGGCAGCCACTTGTCAAACACAACCTCAGCGGTGACAACAACAATCACAGCCCCCTGGCTGGATGGTGCCAACTCCAGTGAGTACCCCTACGAGTACCTGGACGAGGAGGATTACGGGCAGCATGGGCTCTGCACCAAGGAGGAGGTGCTCTCCTTCAGCAAAGTGTTCCTGCCTTCATTTTACACCGTGGTCTTCCTGCTCGGGATGGCCGGGAATGCCCTCCTGTTCATCGTCCTCATTATGTACATCAGGAAGAGGAAGAAGATGACTGAGGTGTATCTGCTGAACCTGGTGGTTTCAGACTTCTTCCTGCTGCTGACCCTTCCTTTCTGGGCTCTGTACGTTTCTCAGGGGGTCACCTGGGATGTTTTGTGCCCGGTCTTAAATGCCATGTACACTCTTAACTTCTACAGTGGCATCTTTTTTGTGAGCTGCATGAGTCTGGACATGTATCTGCAGATAGTTTATGCTTGCTCTGCTCACAGCTCCACGTCATGGAGGAAGTCCATCCTTGGCTTGTTGGTGGTGTGGATCCTTTCCATACTTCTCTCCATTCCTGATGGCCTCTTCACCAGCACAAGGCAAATCCACAATAAAACCACCATGTGCACCCAGGATTATGGCCAGGACCACTTATTTTGGAAAGTTGTCTTTCGGGTCACTCAAAACATCCTGGGCTTCCTTTTACCCTTCCTCTTCATGGTGTTCTGCTACTCCCGCATCGCCTGTGTCCTCAGCACGTCACAGCTGCCTGGCTCCAGGAGAGCTCTCTGCTTGGTCTTCACTCTGGTGGGTGTCTTCTTTGTCCTGTGGTCTCCCTACAACATTGTCCTCATCCTCCACTCCCTGCAGGATGTCGGTGTGATCAGGAGCTGTGAAAGCAGCAGGAAGCTGGACTACGCCATGCAGGTCACGGAGAGCTTGTCCTTTGTCCACTGCTGTCTCAACCCCTTGCTCTATGCTTTTGTGAAGAAACGATTCAGGTCCTACTTGTGGAAGATCCCTCAGGCCATCTTCAGGAGAAGTGGTTTCTTTCACATCCAGCCCTCAGAGACAAGCCCATCTTGCAGCAGATACGTGGCTGAGATAGAAATGTTGAGTGTCACAACTGTATCATAAATATTTACATTATTTACACTGTGTGTGTGCCCTCTGTGCTGCATTTGGTCCTGGCCATGGGATGGAGTTGGTGTGAGCCCACAACGCTTCGTAATCAGACAGTTCATCCAAGAACCACCCTCGAGATGAGGATTTTCCGTGTTGGGATTGGGAAAGTACTTGTGGGATTTGTTTCTGTTGATACAAAACTGGGAGGAGCTGTTGACTCCCTGGAAGGCAGGGAGGCCCTGCAGAGAGACCTCAAAAAATCAGAGGGCTGGGTAATCACCAACCATGGGAAGTTCAACAAGGGGAAGTGCTGGATCCTGCCCCTGGAATGGGGCAACCCTGGATGTATGGACAGACTGGGAATGAGAGGCTGGAAAGCAGTGCTGGGAAAGGGACCTGGGGGTCCCTGGTGGGTGGCCAGTTGGCCATGAGTCAGTACTGCCCTGGCAGCCAGGAGGGCCAACCCTGTCCTGGGGGGCATCAGGGAGGGGGATTGTCCCACTCTGCTTTGCCCTGGGGCAGCCTCACCTGCAATATTGGGGCAGTTTGGGGGCACAGCAATATAAGGAAGATATTGAGCCATTGGAGAGTGTCCAAAGGAGGCCATGAGGATGGGGAAGGGCCTTGATTTGAAGCTGTGTGAGGACACTGAGGGCACTTAATGTGTTCAGCTGGAGAAGAGGAGACTGAGGAGAGACCTCACTGCTGTTCCAACTTCCTGGGAAGGGGCAGAGGAGGGGCAGGGACTGAGCTCTGCTCTGGGGGGACCAGGGACTGGACCCAAGGGAATGGCCTGGAGCTCTGTCAGGGCAGGATAAGGTTGGATGTCAGGAAAAGATCTTTGCCTCTGAGGGTGGTTGGGCACTGACCAGGCAGTGGGCACAGCACCAAGGCTGACAGAGCTCTAGGAGGGTTTGGATGATCCTCTGGGGCACAGGGTGTGACTCCTGGGGATGGGCCTGTGCAGGGCTGAGAGTTGGACTGGATGATCCTTGTGGGTCCCTTCCAACTCAGCATATTCTGTGATTCTGTGAAACATGCAGATGTTCTCTTCTATAGATTCCAAAGGGTTGGATGGAGGAGAGCGATCCCATTATCCTTCCAGTTCATGGTGTGGACTGTGGAATAGCTTTTACACACTCAACCATCAATCCAGAAACCCAGGAATAGATTTGCCACACTCATCCACTAGGCCAGAAACCCAACCAGGGGGTGGCTTTGCTTCTCCTGGCTCTTACCATCTGCCAGGTAGATGGTTCAATTGGGATCATCCCTTTGTCTACCAGGAGAGATAACAGGAGGAGTTGGGCACCTTTAAGCTGAGTTGTCTGCCCAGGGACAGTTTCCTCTGTTAGGATGAGCTGTGCCATCCTGTTGAGCAGGAAACTCTCCCCAAGAGACACATCCTTGGTTAGAGATGAGTTCAATCATAGGCTGATTTGAGACCAGTTTGATCAGGACAAAGCTGAAACCAGTAACAGCCAGTGAGAAGGAGAAAACAAGTGGGCTCAGCAGAACAGTAATGGAGGAATTTGACTCCCACAGAGCCCCTTTAACAAGATAAAAAGGATCCATGGATACTGTAACATAAATATTGGCTTCGCAACACCACAGAGTGAGATCATGGGCTGAACAGAAGAGCACAGGGAGCTGTTGGCCAATCCTTATTACCCAGTGTAGCTTTAAAGCTCAAGATTATGAGTTTGCTGACTTTTATTTAAATATATTGTTCACCCCAGATGCTCCTGAACCTTAAATGGTCCCTTTCCAGCCTGAAAATCTATTAAGCATTAGACTTGCCTAGAACTGTACAGAAAAAAAAAAAAAAGAATTATTTAAAAGAAAACACTCATCACCATAGTTTTATTGCTAGACAAGGTTACAGGACTGAGAAGGGCTTTGAGTTGATCTGGAAAGATGGATTTGTTTTCACTGCTGTTATTTTTCTTCCCAACATTGCTACAGCGTGTTTCCAAAATGGTGAGGCTGGGAGCTTTCCTTAAAGAAACAAAGCCAGAATATGCATTTAGCTGATGCTGTGATGTGACCTTCACTCCACGGGTCAGGTCACTGGAGGGAACGTGGAAAGGGACAGCAGCTGGGAAGCAAGAAAGAAGATGAAGATTACGATCCCAGAGAGAGGAGAACTCTTGGGACAGCGGAAAACTTACGAGGGGATTCTCAGGGGAAGGGCAAAGGTGAGGGAAATAGCGAGGGGATAATGTCACTCTCTGTCCAATGTGAGGGCGCTGCGAGGTCCAGGCACCAGTGACTGGGGCAGAGGTTGTGGTGGCTGTGTGTGCAGATCAAGGTGGCAGCACTGGGAAAAAACTTCTAGGGCACTGTGCCTTGGAGAACATCAAAATGTTAGAGACCTTTCCTTCTCTGGTCTGTGGAGATCAAATTGGTTCGGCTGTAACCCCCTCCCTGAGCTCATTTCCAGTAGCATTTCCAACATCCCTTTGTTTCATTTTTTTCAGCCTGCAGTGCTTCTCCATAGCCTGGCCTTAAAGGTAGAAATCATGGAGTGGAATCCTCCGAACCTTTTTTTTTTTTCCCCAAAAAAACCTGGGCTCCATGTCCCTAGAAAAGGAAATATGCTTAAACTGCTGCAGAGCCCAGGCCAAAACCTATCCCCCTTACACAGCATGGGTACTCCAACAGGATTACAACATCCCTCCCACCTCAGAAATCCAAGTTCAGACTGGAGTGCTCTGCGGGGGCAGGCAAACACCCACTGCCAATGGGGACAGAGGTTGTCAGCTGTGCCTCTGCATATCAGCTGCTGGATGGGAATAGAAAGCACATTCCTGCCCCAACCTGTCCCTAGCCCCAGCTCCCAGACAGGCACAGAGCTCTCATGGGGCTGTGGGTGGTTCTCCTCTGTGCCTTGGTGTCGTTGCTGCTTGGTGGCCTCTATGTCCTGGGGGTGTTTCGGAGACGGAGACCAGATGAGCCGCCCCTGGACAAAGGCACCATTCCCTGGCTGGGCTACCTGCTGGATTTCAGGAAGGACAGCTCAGAGTTTCTAAAAAGGATGTGGAGGAAACACGGGGATGTTTTCACGGTGCTGATCGGTGGCTATTACTTCACCTTCGTGATGGACCCCTTCTGCTTTGGCAGCATCGTGAAGGAATCACGGTCTAAACTGGACTTTAGGGCTGCTGCAACTCAGCTGGTCCTGCAGGTTTTTGGCTACAAGCCCAACGAATCCAGCCACAACGTAGCCCGTGAATCGAGCATGAAGCACCTGACGGGAGAGGGGCTCAGTGTCCTGACTCAAACCACCATGGAGAACTTCCAGAAGCTGATGCTTTTCAACCTGAGCCCAGGAGAGGAGAAGCGAGTGTGGCGGGAGGAGAACCTCTTCCACTACTGCTACAACATCGTCTTCAGAGCCGGGTACCTGGCTCTGTATGGCTCTGAGCCACACCAGGGGGCAGGAGACAAGGAGAAAGCTGAGGAGCAAGACCGTGTCCACTCCAACCAGCTGTTCCAGGAGTTTCGGAGGTACGACCGCCTCTTCCCTCGCCTGGCCTTCTCTCTGTTGCCTCACAAGGACAAAAGAGAAGCTGAACGGCTGAAGAGGCTCTTTTGGAGCGTGCTGTCTGTGAAGAAGGCCAGGCAGAAGGACAATATCAGTGGGTGGATCAGTGATCAGGACCAACTTCTGGCAGAAAATGGCGTCCCCGAGTACATGCGGGATCGTTTCATGTTTATGCTCCTCTGGGCATCCCAAGGCAACACGGGCCCAACGGCCTTCTGGCTCCTCCTGTACCTGCTGAAGCATCCAGAAGCTCTGAAGGCTGTGAGAGGTGAGGTAGACAAAGTCTTGAGGGAGAATGGGCAGCAAGTGAAGGCAGGGAGCCGTCCAGTTACCATCACTAGGGACATGTTGAACCAGGCTCCTCTTCTGGACAGTGCCCTGGAGGAGACCCTTAGGCTGGTGGCAGCCCCGCTGCTGGTCAGAGCTGTCCTGGAGGACATCAGCCTCAAGACAAGCAGTGGGACAGAGTACACCCTCCGCAAGGGAGACAGGGTGGCTCTGTTCCCTCACCTCGCCGTGCAGATGAACCCAGAAATTCACCACGAGCCTCACAAATTTAAGTACGACCGTTTCGTGAACCCAGATGGCACCAAGAGGGATTTCTACAAAAATGGGAAGAAGCTGAAATATGTCAACATGCCCTGGGGGGCAGGAGTATCCATCTGTCCCGGGCGGTTCTTCGCCAGCGCTGAAATGAAACTCTTTGTGTTTCTGATGCTGAGCCACTATGACCTGGAGCTGGTCAATGAGGAAGAGGAGATCCCAGGGATAGACAGCAGCCGCTGGGGATTCGGGACCATGCAGCCTGTTCACGATGTTCGGTTCAGATACCGGCCACGCTTTTGATTTTGGGAAGCCCCTGTTGTGTTGTTTGTTTCGGTGTTACCTCTGAGCAAGTTGTGTGATCCCGTGGTTATCAGCTCCTGATCTGATCTTGTTTGCTTAACATTTATCATGGCTTGTGTTTTTACCTCTGTCTCACGTGTTGCTGCTCTGTGTCTCCGGTTACTGTGATAAAAGAGAGACAAAATGTGCCCTCTGGGGCTATTCCCAGCCCCATCCCTGTGGCCATCAGCCTGCTGAAAACCCAGAGGAGCACAGGGGCATATTGACAGGTGGGAACCCCAATTCAGGGCTTCCAAGGAACAAGTATTTTGTCCAGGGCTGTCCCAGCAGAGCTGTCAGCCCCGTGGTCCTGGCATGAGACCCCTGGAGATGTGGAGGAGGATTTCTGTCAAGGGAGGGCAGACATTCTATGGTGTGTAGGGGAAGAGGATTTTGGGATTGCACAGGACTTAAAGTAGGATAGTTTGGGGAGGAACCAAAGGGGCATAAAGGATGGATTTAGGGCATTTGGGGAGGAAAATTGAGAGGTAAGGGGATAAAAGGGGCTGGTTGTATATAAACATGCCATACACTTCCTCCCCCTGATTTGTTTTAGTGTCTTATTAAATTCCTGTCCTTAAATTCAAAACCAAAGGAGCTGTGTGTCCATGGTGCCAGCACTGGCACTGGTGTGAGAGCAGTTGTACAAGCAAAGACCAGGCCAGATGAGCTGGAAAATAAGTGCCTTGGGAGTGTGGGGATGAGCTGCTGTGCACCGGCACTGGGACTGCGTTATTTTGTTATCAGTTCCTCACTGAGACATTTATTTACTTCCACTTATAAAGTATCATTGGCAGGATGGCACCAGCTTGTAGTGAACCCCTGAAAGATCAGAGAGCAGCAAATATCCTTTCCAGAGACGTAAGAATTTCCTTGGAGTATTCAAATTGTCATGCCTGTGGTCCCTTTCTTGTATCTGATGAGATCCCCAAAGGGAGCAGAGGTGGGATGGGCTAAGCAAGGACATACCAACAGCTCCTTCCCATTTCATGTGTAAGAAAAGGTCAGATCTTGCCAATCACCTCATTTACCAGATCAGTGGGAGAAGAGCATTGTGAACATCACTCAGAACCTGCAATACCATTTTCATGTGCTTATGTGGCTTAGGAATGCAGGTGGTCACCTGCCTTTCCAGGTCTGCAGGAGGCTGAGCATTCAAGGCATCCCCACTCTCCCAGTTTAGACCCCATCCTCTGCAAATACCCAAGGAGATTGTAAGGAAAGGGATGGAGTGATGGGAAGGGGCTTAAAAACCTAAGTGGGGCATGAGAAAACAACCTCAATCCCTTATGGGCTACAGCCACTGCGACCTTATAGACCTCAAACATCTGTTTTATCTGCTGGATCAATGCAAGATAAAAAGTTGCCCCCTGCAAACTCTGCTTGGCTTTATTCCCTTTCAATAATTAGGGTAAATTATTAGTTCTTACAGATGGTAAATCCCAGCCTTTCCTGTAAAGAGAACAGTGGATTGACTTTAATGCTGACACTAACCTTGGACTTTGGAGATTATATATTATCAAGGAATGAAACTCACACTATTTTCACAGATGTCCAAACATCAAAGGCAGATCCTGCTTTGTTCTGCAAAGGGCAGGGGGATGTTGTAACTGCATGTTGAGGGCAAACTATCCCAGCCTCCCAGACTGGGCATTAGCCCAGACCTTGTGGTGTGGAAATTCAGGCAGAAACTATCAAGCAGCTTTGGCAGAACCACCTGTAACTGCACAAGGCTTGACTGTGACAGTTAATATTCCCATTATCAGTTCCAGCACCTTTTCACAATTTTCATGTTGGCTCTCACCTCTTTTTTTTTGTCACCCCTGGGCTCATTGTTTGGCTCTGCTACCAAGAATTAAATTTGAGCTCTTCCCGAGTTCTGGTCAATTCAAGCTCCAAACCATGCCCTGGAATGCCTTAGGATAGCTGGAGAGCTCTGAGCCATCATCTCATCCTGGCCAAGTGATGTCCTCACTCCAAGGCTTTAGGAAAAGGATTTTTTATGTGGATGGTTTGCATGGAGCTTGTTCCCTGCTGATACACAGTGTACATTGGTTATCACTTGTAGGGACCCCAGGTCAGAGTGAGGGTGAAAGACTGGGCTTGGGAAAGGGATATAAAAATAATGACAGTCATTCAGCAGAAAAATCTGGCTTTACTTGCTTGTCAGAATGGTTTATTTAACCAAACAGTATTGAGTCTATAAAAGACTTCAGACATGCTCAAATGCATGCAGTTGTGAGAAGCAAAAAAAAAAAAGTCATATATGGAAGAGTGTGAAAGCTCCAAATGGGTTAATCTGCAATTGAGTTTTATGCTTGGGTGGCTTCTCCCCTGGCACTGAGCTTTCCATCCCAAAGTGCAACAGCAAGAGTAAAAAACCAGCCTGTGCCAACAAAAACCTGACTGGATTTGTAAGAGAAGTTAAACTGGAAGGAATCCAGGAATAAATTTGAAAAGTTTACTGGAGGGCAGCTCTCATTGCAGTGTCTGTCTCGTGTAACTATTCTATCCCCTGAGAGAGCTGAGTGTGGAGTCTGTCCCTAAACCCCTGGTTTTCTCTCCTGTAGAGCTTAATGAAGACAATATTCCTTCAACATTCAAAGTTTTACAATCTGCTGAGTCGGTGCCTGCTCTCGACAGCACAGGGAAAACGTTCCAGGTCACAGCTCCTGCTCTGCACACTGAGCAAGGGAAGGAGTTACAACCTGCATCCTTCAGGTTTGGAACAATAGGGGTTAAACATGTTGGGAAAGGCCATCCCTGGTTAAACAGCCTCAACTCCAGTATGAAACTGCAATGCATCAGGAACTGTTTCCTGTGTTCCTTCCTCTAAACACAGACAGATACAGCTCTGAGAAAGCCTCCACTTAATGCTGCTTGTGTGGAAAATCAAAGGAAGTCAGTGGCACCAACAGATACATCAATCACTGCAGAGAAACTCGAAGGAGCACTGAGGTTATGAGTACAAAGCCACGACACAGCCAACACCACCCATTGCAGAGTAAAGCAGAGTTGGAAGGAGAAACAACGTGAAATGTCAGGATTTTTTTAAAGAATTAAAACACGGAGCCTTTGGCACATCTCTGGGTAGAAGGGCCTGTGCACTCCCCAGGGAAGAGCAGCCTGGCTTCAAAGTGCCAAAGGACAACACGTGCATGTTACAAGGCCATGGTCACTGGTGCATTTGCTGCCTTCACTGTCTGCTGGCCCAGTCACCCAACAAGTCACAGAGTACGCAGGAACAGCCTGTGGCAGGCAGGACACACCAGCACAAACACAGGGACCAGTGACCCCAGCTCAGCTGATGGACACCAGCTTGGCAGGACAGTTTGATACCAAACACTGAGTGCAGAAGGGACAGAGAGGCAGTTCCTGCCTGTCCCATCCATGTCACTGTGCTACCATGAGGCCATACTTGGAGCACAGCAGGCCCCTCTTCTTTTCCCTTTCCATGAGGAAATTCCTCAGTTTGGTGGTGGGGAAGGTAACCAGTGCTTGCTGCCTGCTGTCCAAACCTGTCTCCTGGAGCCACGGGCTCTGAAGGCACTCGGAGGCTGATGGCCTTCCCCTGGAACAGGAAAGGTGAGGAGGTCAGTCAGGGAGCCCTGCTGGGTGAGGAGGCTCCTTGCACATGGAGAGAAAGGAGGGCCAATAGCCAGGATCTGCCCCAGCTGTGCAGCTGGGAGAGCAGACAGCACCTTACCAGGGGTTTGCACACAGAGTGCTCTGGAGGAAGGACACAGCCCCCCCGGACAGACCCGCGTAGCACCGCGTGAGCTTCACTTTGCCCTTCCTGGTGGTTCTCAGGAACTCACAGGGGACATCGGAGCTGACGGGGTAGTTGGCACTCAACCTGCCCCAAAAGAAGAGAATTGATCAGAGTGAAGCTGCCTCCAGCTCTGGAGTCCTCAGTGTAAGAAGGGTGTGGACTTGTTGGAGCGAGTCCAGAGGAGGCCACAGAGATGCTCCGAAGGCTGGAGCCCCTCTGCTCTGGAGCCAGGCTGGGAGAGCTGGGGGTGTTCACCTGGAGAAGAGAAGGATCCAGGGAGACCTGAGATCCCCTTCCAGTGTCTAAAGGGGCTCCAAGACTTGGGACAAGGGCCCAGAGTGACAGGACAAGGGGGAACAGTTTTAAACTACAATAAAGGAGCTTTAGATTAGATATTAGGAAGAAATTCTTTACTACAGGGGTGGTGAGGCCCTGGCACAGGTTGCCCAGAGAAGCCATGGCTGCCCCATCCCTGAAGTGTTTGAGATCAGGTTGGATTGGGCTTGGAGCAACCTGGTATAGTGGCCCATGGCAGGGAATTTGGAACTGGGTGATCTTTAAGGTCCCTTCTAACCCAAACCATTCTAGGATTCTCTGACTCTTATAAGGGCATCACTCAGGATGCTCCTTCTCCCAGTAACTCCCATTCAGCAGTGAGAGGAGGGTCATGACAATGCACAGAAACATCATACAGGAAATAAAAATCTCAAAGGCCACTGTTCTTCAATGAGTTTCATGACTTTGGCTGCTTTTCAACCTGGTATATTTTGGATTTTTTTGGTAAAGTTGGGGCTTTTCAGACAAGAGAAAAACACCAGCAGCTGCTGTGTTGTAAAACAGCCTCCTTCCTGTACAGGGAGACATCACTGGGACGACAACCCACATTGTAAATCAGCTTTTGGGACTGGGGTGAGCTCATCCTGGGCTGCAGGTAACTCTCTGCAATACAGCCATAAAAACTCTGCGTGTGTCCCCGGAAATCTCTCGGGGCAGGAGCTGCTGCCCCAGTGACCTCCCGCACACCCAGGGCCCGGCTCGCTTCCCAGCACGGGCTGGGATGTGATAAAACAAGCTGGATCTGCTCCCCGGCTCCCTGAACTCTGTCCCTGCTGCCACAGCCGGGACTATTTGCGTGTTAGAAGCAGGGGGAAAGATAAAAGTTAAAAGGCACCCGGTAGTTTGCCAAACTACGGAATTTCTGCGGGGCGGGGCGGAGGAGGAGGCCGGGAACGCCTGTGCCCTGCCTCCTGCTCCAGGGTATTTAACCTGGGGAGTCCTGGCTGCAGCCACAGCTCTGCAATCTCCAGCACAGCACACATCTCTCCAGGACACATCCCTCCAGGGCACAACACTCCAGGACATTCCTCCAGCTCCCATCCCTCCAGGATATCCCTGCAGGACACATCCCTCCAGCTCATCCCTCCAGCTGCCATCCCTCCAGCTCCCATCCTTCCAGGACACATCCCTCCAGCTGCCAGTGAGGGAGGAGCAGGCGTGGGGAAGATGAGCTGCAGCAGGTACCCCGTGGATGTGAAGGCTGTTGGCTTCATGCAATGCAGAAAGCAGAAGGTATGTTAATTTTTATAATTTTTGGCTTTTATTTCCTCCTGAAATATATTATAAATTAGGAAACTAGAGGGCTTTGGACTTACTCTTCTAGGGATGTGTTTGCTCATTCCCCACAGTGTTGGGATTAGGAGCCTTGGGATCTAGGACAAAGGGATTTTTGTAATGGGCTTAATACTGTAAGAAAATTGTTATCTTGGATTTTGCTCTCTTTCTGTCATAGCACCATAAAATCCTCCTGATTTCATTTATGATTATCCATTTGGAACCCTTAAATTTAAGGAAATATTTTTGTGGGTTTAATGTTTAATTGAATTTTTTAATGTGATACTCTCAGCCTGAAGCCAGAACTAACCCACAGCTCGTGGCAAACGCTGATTGCCTGGAAGCATCTCAGATGGAACACTGTGATTAAATTGCACTTCTTTTCCCTTTTCTTTTCCCAGAACTACATGATGTTTGTGACTTGGTCAGACCAGAACAACATTCTCATCTACCGGACATTTGAAGACTTTAAGAAATTCCATGTAAGTGAGTTTTCAGTTCCTGGAATGTCAGGATTCCCATCCTGGAGAGGCAAAGGAGCCCAGCTGTGTGTCAGGGCTGTGAGGAATCACTGTTCTCTCCTTCTCTCTTTTAGAAAGAGCTGAAGAGAAAATTCCCCATGGAGAGTGGCTCCCTCAGGAGTTTACCCAGGTTTAAAGGTAAGAATAAATCTCTGATGGACCAACAAACATGTGAGTGGACAGGACAGGCATAACTGGGGACACAAACTGAAGTCTCTGAGCCTGACTTTCCTCTGGAACAGGTTAAGAGCTCTCTCCTGCTCCTGGCACAGCACCACTGGGTTATATCAACATGATTGTGTCTAGTACAGACTTAGAACAACCCAGAAAGGCTTTTTTATTAGATAATTGCACTTGGGAAATTAGTATTGCACTTTAAATATCTGCACAGACCTTCTTGAAATATTTACATGTGAAAAAAAGATAAATTTTGGATGTTAAAAAAATTGTATCAGGAGCTATTAGAAAGGACAGGGAGGCAGGGACAGTGACTGTACAGTTTGGGACGGGGCAGGAAGGGTGGTGGGTGAGGACACCCCATGTTCAGGCAAAAGATGCTGCTCCCAAAGACATCCAGACCTGCTGTTGTCTTACACCAACTGTGCCTTTGTTCTTTTAAAGGTGTGATTATGCAGCACAGGAAGGGTGGGAAGCTGAACAGGTGCCTGGAGATCCTGAAACTGCTGGAAACCTACTCCCAGGAGCTGCTGAAAATGGACGCGAGGATCTCCCAGGGGGGAGACGTGAATCAGTTTTTCAAGGCACAGACCCAGGACCTCGACCCCTCCTTCCCTGAAAACAGGTGTGAAATCCGAGTTGTCCTTTTTGTGTGTTCACCAAGCAGAAATGTTATGGGATGTGGGTAGAAGAGAAACACCAGTTACAAGAGGGCAGCAGAGCAGGGAAGTTCTGCTGGGTGCTTTAATCTGGGTTTATGTCGTCTCTGGTGGCTAAAGCTACTGCATAAGTGATTTTACCAAAACTGAGGCTAAACTCAACCTTCCACCTGAGTTTTTGATGCGAAACTTTGCTTTGCAGTGTTGTGATCATGCCATCAGAATTTAGAAGGGAAAAGAAGCAGCAGCCCATCTCCATCACCCTTCCCCAGGCGTCCCAGAGCTACCGCTGCATCGAGAGCTTTGAAACCAAGGACACCAAGAACAGGGCGTTCACAGTGGCTCAGAAGGAAATTGTTGAAGTGTTAATCAAGGACATGACTGGTATGTTTGAGGGGATTCTTCAGTGTCAGGGCTGGAGGGGCAGGTTGATTCATAGCCCGGCAAATGCCAGGGTAGTGTCAGGAGTGCAGGTGTTTGTACTTGTGTGCCTACCTGGGGGGACAGTGAATGTCCCTCCTGTCTCTTGTGTCCCTTATCCAGGGATTATGGTCATCTCTCAACTTGCAGGCTGTTAAAAACTGGGTGTTTTGCTCTTTGTAGGGTGGTGGCTGGTGGAAAATGCAGACAAGCAGATTGCCTGGTTCCCAGCCTCGTACTTGGAAGAGCTTGATGTCCACGAGGACATCCAGAACACCTTTAGCTCAAATGAGGAGGGTAAGTCTGCTCCTGGCTCTCTGGGACACCTTCAAAAAATGAGTTCTGCAAAACCTCACCACTTTAACCACTGCTTGGAGTCCCCACCTGGATCTCTGGAGCTCTGACTCTTCTGGTCAGCTCTGCCATGGAATCACAGAATGGTTTGGGTTGGAAGGGACCTTTCAAGGTCATCTAGTCCCACCCCCTGCCATGGGCAGGGACACCTTCCACTAGCCCAGTTTGCTCCAAGCCCCGTCCAACCTGGCCTTGGACACTTCCAGGGATCCAGGGGCAGCCACAGCTTCTCTGGGCAACCTGTGCCAGGGCCTCCCCACCCTCATTGTAGAAAAAACATCTTCCTTGTGTCCAACCTAAATCACTCAGTTTGGGGTCCCTGAGCAGCCAGTCCCTCTCAGGGACACTGCCCCACAGCTGAGCTGCTCTGTCACAGGGTAGGGGCACTTTCTCCACGGGGCAGATCCGACCTCCTCCTCCTCCCACAGGCAGCCTGTACTTCGTGGTGCAGCCCTACGAGGCGCAGGAGGCGGATGAGCTCTCTCTGCACAGCGGGGTGGTCGTGGAGGTGCTCAGGAGCTCTGACAACGGCTGGTGGCTCATCCGGTAAGGAGGCTTTTCCAAAGTCCTGCCAACCCAGGGAGCTGGTTACCTGCTGCAGCTGCTGCTTGCCCTCTCCTTGCCATTTGGGTGCATCCCTGAGCTGAATGTCCTTGGCCAAGGATGGTTTCCCAGTCCTCACACCCCACGTACAGCACAGGGCTGGGCCCTGCCCTGCTCTGCTCCCTCCCCTTGGTTCAAACTGGTCGAAGGGCTCCTCTCAGTGTTCCTTCCATCCCTGCCCACAGGTACAATGGGAGCACGGGCTACATGCCCTCCATGTGCCTCCGGCCCTACAAGAATCCTCACCACAAGCTGCAGACCATCATCAACTCCGGGCTCAACGTCTCCACCCCAAACCTCTTCTCCCCCCAGCCCCGGGGGCAGGCCGTGGCACAGCCCAGGGCACAGCCTGGCTCTTCCTTCAACCTGAATGAAGATGGGAGCTCTCAGAGGAGCAGATCCAGGTCTCTGCCCAGGGCCAGCTCCACCTCAGACCTGGAGTCAGAGAGCTCGTCCCTGAGCTCGGGCAGCAGCAGCGAGCAGGGCGCCCGGCTGAGCTGGAAGCCCGACCTGTCCCGCTCTCTGCCCGAAGTGGAGCAGAACAGGAGCTCCCCTGCCCTGGCCACGCACAGCACCAAGTCCCCACGCCTCACCCCCAGGGACAGGAACGACTCTGGCTTCGTGGAGTCCTCTACAGCCGACCTGAGCTCGCCCCTGCCCGACCCCGACCTGGCCACGAGCGTCCCCAAGGTGCCAGCACGGCCCTCGGCCCACGAGATCCTGCAGAGGTGCAGCACCCTCACCAAACGGGCCCTGCAGGG